TTTACAAACGTTTATTCTTTGTCCTCAAACACCAAAGAAATATTATGTTCTAAATGATGTTTTTCAATGGCTTGATAGAGCTTTCGGCGATCCAATTCCAGGGCAGCAAACACAGGGCATGTTATGTCTTCGCTTTTGTAATTGTGCTTTCTGTAAATACTAAGTAACATTGTTGAAGTTTATGGACCTCCTTGTTCTCCCCAATTATGTCGTTTTTCTTTGCATCTGGTTGAAATTTGAAATCAGATTACTTTAGATTTCACTGCATCTTTTTTTTTTGTCATTATTCGCTTTTGTAGAAGTGTCTCATATTCATGGGACTGCGAAAGAACATTCACCGGGGATCATCAATGGCGATCAGAATACAAGTATTAATGGACAGCTTCAAAATGTTATAGGATCATCGGGTGATGACGAACAGAGTAGGAATATTTATTTTTTCAAATGTGTTTCTAACCCGTTACAAGGACTAATATATTAAACATTTTTTTAGATCTGTTTAAAATTTTAAATTTCACAGGGGCAACTGATTTGTCAGATGAAGCTATCAATATATCAGAAGAGGAACATGAAGAGGTTGAACCAACAAATGAACATGACTCATATGTTGTTCATGGCGATGATGATCACCAAGACATTATAGGCACTGAAAAGCCAACTGAAGTTACAGATGGAAAAACTGGTGTGGTTTCGTTGGATCAGGTATGTAGATTTCTGTTGAACTCGTGGAATTTGCTTTTGATACCGCTTCTGTTCTTTATAAGTCTCTGATTGGAATTCAGCTTCCTTCTAAAGGTTTAATATATTAGTTAGGGGATTGGGGACGGGCCTGGTTGTGACGCAGTTTTTGAAGCAGCATTTTTTATCAACAGATAACAGAGTTTCTCATTTTTAAGGGACGGACAAGTGCGCCATCTGCTCAGCAGTCTTGGGCAAAGATGGTTAGCTCTTCAGCTTCGCAGACTGCACCACAGTATTCTAGAACCGTAGCCCCAAACAAACCCGCCGCTCGTGGGGTTGCTGCATCGCAACCTGTTTCAAGCAACGTACAGTCGTCACAAGGCAATATTACCAGCTATCATCAAAAAGGTTGCTTTTGTCAATCTACAAATTAATGGAAGTTACTCATTATCGAGGGTAAAAGTCAAGATACTGTTATACGGAAGTTGTATGCGTTTGAAAAATTTTAAGAGTAATGTGGGATTTTTCATTGGGGACTTAGTTTACCTAGTTGCGTTTCTTTTAGAATCAGATTCATATGCCACTAGTGGTAATACACATGCTGGAACACGTTACCAAAGTGACAGCAACTGTAAACTCTATATTGGTAATATAGTTCGCACCAGCTGCCCAGACAAGACTGAGATTGCCGAAGCGGAAATCAAGAGCGTACTTGAACGTATGTTTGTAGACTATCTCTGCTTTACATTTTTTAGGTATTATTTATCCAGTGCACATTATTTCTTTGAGGTTTAAAGAAAAACGGTCGCATTTTTTGGTTTGATATTGTGTGTAATACTTTACTTCCTTTCATTGATTTTTTCTCCCGAGTGGTTCGTTTATCTCTGGGGTTTGCTAGAACCACATGTGATTTGCTCAAAATCCTCATTTTTTCCTGTTGCGCCATAGATTTGTCATTAGAAGTTTTGCAGAGTATGGAGCTGTGGCTTCGGTTAAAGTCCCCCCAAAAGCAATAGATAAAAGTGTTTATCATGCTTATGCTTTTATTGTTATGAAGACGCCGGAAGGTGCTAGCAATGTCTTTAAAGCTGCTCGGAAAGTAAGTCGACGTTGTTTGCTTTCTTCGACGTCCAATGGTTTTATAGTGCGAAGTAAACATTGCATGTTTTAGGATCAAGAGCGAGGAACATACTACCTTAATATGAAGCTTAATTGCTTCGAATTTGATGGAGAGGTAACGCTTTCAGCACAAAAGAACGACAGGGTGAGAACTCCATATATACACAGGAATGGACCACCTTTGCCAGGTGCTTTTATAACTGTTTCATTAGGAAGGATTGACATATTTTTTTTGCCGGATTTCTAAAATGATTGTTTTCTTTTCATCGTTCTATGCCTTGGTTACAATTAGGAATGAGCCGTGGAAGCCATACGCGTTCAGGAATGGGAGCGCGTGGGGCGAATCGTAACATGTACTCGAGACCGTATGGAGGCAGTAGTGAGCATCGTCATCCAGGAAGTGTTCATACCCAGCATGAGTAGAACTAAAACAGCCTCGCTAACTCCCTCCATCGATATTACCTGCGGTCCATCGCGTAATTACGATTTATTTGTTATTTCTGTCAAATTTTTACACTTTCAGAAGATTTGCTCAGTGATCTCCTCATCTAATCGTAGGTCCGTTTTGTCAGGATCGAACAATAAGTAAAGTTTTCAGGGAGGAGGAGACCATTTTCGAATTTTTCATCATTGATTTTTGTTCTCATTGAAGTTCTCACTTAGCATGCTTTTAAATGTTGATTGAGCGACATTATAATTTTATGAATTATGTAATTAAATAATTCAGTGTTTTATCAATTTTGTTAGCAGTTTGTTTGAGGTGCATTGGCTCGCGTTTCTGGGGTCTTGTTTGATTTGATTTTGAGTAATATAATTGAAAAATAGATGGAGGATTTTGAATTTAGATATAAAAGAGTTTGATATTTTATCGTTACAAGTTGCTTAAATCTTTATTGTATTCTCTTCTTATTGCTTTCCTGCCTCAATCACGATTCTCTGCGCTTTTTCCAAGAAAAGACAAATTATGTACCTTAGTAACCATTGCTTGAATGGCATTTAATTCGTTCTGAAGCTTCAGAGAAAATTAAAAACATTCATTTGTTTGAAACATGGGGTAGTTACTAGAGAAGGGGATGTTTAAGGTTTTTTTGAAATTTAGGAAGACATGAGGTGAAGAACAGCAATTCACTTCAACTTCTAGATGTATCATATAGTACGTCGACAGGAAACCCGCATGACTTTTGCATCAGCGGTACGGCCAAAGTAGAGGGCAGAGTAGTAAGTGCTCAATTTTTATTTCATTGAAGTCTTGAGAACTGAAATTGCTTGCTGTGATTTTTCGTTTTTGCGGTCAATGATTCCTGGGAACCTTAGAAAAAACGAAGTCTTTTTTTTTGGGCGTCTTGGCTATTTGTTTTTCCCACTGCTTGAGTTTATTTGCTCTTTATTTGCTGACAGGCGGAGGATGTAACCGTTTATGCTTAATGAGTGATCATTTGTGCCATCTACGTGTTATCTTCACTATTGTTTAGCATTTGTTGTTCTACTAAGCAATGCTCGTGAATTTGAGGAGTTTTAGATGTGTTGTGCTGCGCTGTTCGAATAGCTCCAAGTTACTGTTGGTTGATTTATCATGGCTCATGTTCCTTTTTTTCCTCACAAGGTGTTTCGTTCTCGTTTTGAGCTTGGTGGTAATTAGACGTTTTTAATTTGTTGTTAACTAATGCATAGCAGACTGTAGAAGAAAAAAGGGCGGAATTACAATACAACTTGTACTGTGTAGGACAAGTAGCGGTGCAGAGTTATGGTTAGAGCGAACTGTTAAGCGTCGTTAATACGAGCTGTTGTTGTTTATATTTTAGGTTTTGCGCAAATTTATGGAAACTTGTTTGCCATTGGTGATGAATAAACAAAATTTATAAGTTAAATCTGTGTTCAATAAGACGGCATGGAGCTTACGATCCAGAAGGGCTCTTGGTCGTTTAACAACTAAGGCTTGTTAATGCAGTTTCAGAAATTACTGAAGTTTGAGCTAGAGGGAACGGGTACCGTTAAAGCATGCTCGAATGTACCGTGTGTAGCAGAAGTTTTTACTGCTGACTTCTGTAGATGTTGCAGTTCTTTAATTAAGTAGCAGAATCTAGTGTTTTGAGGACTCATGAGTTGCGTTGCACGTTTGGATTGCATAAGCTGTTGCGGGGGCGGCATCCACGGTTTAATTTTGCTGGGGGCAGCAGCGAGAAGGGTGGTAGCCTCTTGGAGAACAAAAAAGATTAATAAAGG